GCTTGTACAAATACATCAATCTTGCAAAACGCAAAATTATATTGCACAGGAGGATATAATATTTCACATTTCTATTTGATTTTGACAAAGGCAGAGTTTGATTGGAGTGTATCAGTCAAACCAGATTGATGGTACTTGGTTTGGCTAATATGAGCATTTTATTCAGTAATTTGCCCCGGGTTCATAGAGTTACAGATTTCTGTCTTTTCTTAACGCAACTCATTTACAAGTTGATGTTTAGTTATCAACCTGTTTGATTGGTGTAGGAATACAAGATTGATGTAGATTAGAGGTGTAATATCTTTACGACTACCACAAATACACAAGTCAAATGTCTAACAACCATTAGGGATCAAGTTGAGATGATTGCTGCTAAAAATGACGAGTTTTATGAGTTCTTTCGACAGTCATAACTTCCTAAACTACACAATTTCTAGTAATCCTTTCATGAATACACAGAGAACCTGTTAAGCTTTTGATTCCCGTCACTTTCTATGTTTGTCAATGTGGCATATTACCGATTTTCTTTTTCTGATAAATGTTGAATTGATGACCATATTATGTTGTATGGTTTGGTTTCATTACTATCTGTGATTTTGGTTTATATTGTTTCCAGTCTGTAGGATCAGTGTGCTAGATATATAATCTCTATAAAGTACAAACAATATTTTATATCTATGTCTGCTGTTTAAAACCTACATTTCTATTTCACGGCCATCTTGAAATATTGTACAGCAGACTATACTACACAATTTTTTTATTTTAAATCTTTTATTATTATAATCTAACTTTATAATTTATCCCCCATTTAAATACCAACGAATTTTTGTATTCAAAACAGCAGAGTTAAAGGGAAATGGCAAACCTGTCCTTTTAAGAACTTGCAAAAAAGGTTGACTGTTTATATTTAGTATAATATTTGTCTGTAATAATAATAAACTCTTATTTCACATGGGTCAGAAACTAAGAATTAGGCCCAGTTCACCAAAGTGACATTCTGCTGAATACATGAATAAACTATTGCAAGACTTAAATATTTGTAATAGAGTATGAATTTTTTTATTTTAGAACAAAGAAAGAAGAGTATATTAGATGGTCAAGCTCTATGTTGTCCTATTTGTGGTCTAACATTACGTCATTCTGATGTTGAAAGTCATCTTCATCTTGAATTAGAAAAAATTGATAAAATTACTAGGTATTTATATTTTAACTTTTATCCGTTCATTTACAATTTGCAACATTATTGTTTGTTTCCCATCTGAATAATTGGAATCTATGCAGTAATGTCTGATATTTCAAACATTTGGTACCTTACCTGGCAAACAATCTCCTTTTTTGTTTTTGCTGTGTTTTTTTCTCTGAAATTTGAATTTATAATGGTTCAATGACTCCAGTATAGACGGGGAATGAACGTAAAGAGGTGTCACATTTTTCGGATGTAAAATAATCAGGGGCATTGTGTCATACTGGCTGTGCACATGAATAATCAATTGGTAGTTTAACAATCAGAATTGAAATGTAGATCTGATTGTTTCGTTTTGTGTTTCGAAAAATCTGGATGTGCATTTCAATCGTGATTGATCAGGCAAATGCAGCGGCAAAATTTTCCACATTATTTACTGCATGGCATTGTCTTTCTTCATTAAGTCAATCATGAAGAATGTAGGATGGAAATTTTCATATTGTGTCAGTCATGTCTTTGACTGTCATGATAGCTATATATGCATGTTTTGATGGTATTTTCTATGATGGCGACCTCCATCAGTTTCAACTGTATTTATAAGTTTATTGTGTCTTATCTTAATAATAAAATAGTCGTGTTGAATTCAAGAGCTTTAAGTGTGAAATCATCTCCGTTTGTAGAAAACTTACAAATTATGATCTTCTTCAAGTTTATTTATTGGCTCTCTTCGATGAGTTTTGAAAGACAAGAATGAAGTTTTATGACTACTTGGCAAGTTTTTCTAATATCAAATATCAGTGTATAAAAGTACTAAGTAGAGTTGGGACTAAGATAAGATATTATTAATTGTTAAATGTAGCAAGTGAAGTAAATAATTTATGATTAACCAAGAGTATGAAATGTTTACCTGACAATTATCCGACTTGGAGATCAAGTTGACAAGTAGGAGAAAACAGTAACTAATTGTAATTTAACGATCAACCAAGCTGACTTGATTAGCTTCACGCTTTCAATTGGTTAAGGGTTGTGAGGATATTGACAGTAAAATGAAGAGATATTTGTAAAAGAATTGTAGATTATTAAATTGTTCAACTCAACTCAACTCTTCTTATCACTTCTTAACATCTGTCACTTTTATTTCTACTTTTACAATCTTGTCAGATATTATATTATATATTTATCTTAAACTATTAGTTATCTGAATTTTAAAGGAAATTTGAGGCATGTTTTTGAATGGTATTTTTGATGATTTGAATGCAATTCTATTTTTTAATGTATAAATTTGTATCATATTTTATTGTCATCTTATATTGATATGATTTCTTCTTTTAAAGTAAAAATTTACAAAAAATTTACCTTTATATTATACTTAAAAGTTAAAAAAATTCATAGCAAATTTTGACAATGTTCAAAGTTCTCCTTTTTGATAGCGATGTTTTGGAAATCATCCTTTAAACAAATGAGATGCTGAAATGAATTGGAATCCAACAAAGTTGAGAGATATTGTCAAATAAAAGTGAAATTAGAATGAGTAATGTTGAGTTAGTCAAGTTGAAGAAAGTAGATTAAAATAATAATTCAATAAAGTGATTTAATAATCTCTACACCCAAGTCATGATTGTGTCATCAGATTGTGCGTATCTTTCTATTCAGGCTGGTGTTAATAATATGAAATCTGGTGAAGATTGAAGGGAATATAATAACTATTACACCAGGGAAACTCTAACTCACTTTAAAATCACTGGTTAATTAAAGATTAATTCTTCACTTTATCATAATAACCGTCAAATACTGGCACAACATTCTCTCCCAATTCTACTCATCTTCTATTTGAAAGTGGCTTTAACAAAGTTTGCAGCAATGGTTGACAGAACACTAGGTTGTTTAGAAAGGCCAATTATTTCACATTAGAAACATTGTATGGTGTAAATTAGATTACGGCACACTACATTAGAAGTAATAGAAGTGTAAATTAAGGATTTGGACATCTCACTAGCTCTATAAATTCATATTAAATGTCGTATTAACGTAAATAAAATCACTTAACTCTCACCTTAATTCACACTTGAACACTTTCTTCAAAACAATTTATTTAAACCTTATCAACACTGGCTTTTTATTTCTTTTATTCAAATCCTATTTATTTTGTTTGTCGCAAAAGGAAAATCCTTTTTTCTTTCATCAGTTTACTTTGAAGATGATAAGACAATGGTCTGATGCTAAACTTTGGGGGTCTTATTTATTTGACAATAAGAATCAATTAGTAAAGAATAGACACACTTAAAAGGATTGTAAAGAGGTTTTCTATGTATATTGGGGACACTGATATTGCTAAAATCCTAATTATCTTGTCATGAAACACATTTTTAGTGGAATTGCAGAAATTACATTTGATTGAAAATTGGAATGGTAAAAATTGATGCTATCAGTGTCCCCAATACATGTATAAATAAAATTTAGAAAATCTCTTTTCAATCCCTTTATTTTTTTTTATACGCCCACACATAAGTATATGTTATGGTTGCCCCTGTCGGTCTGTCGGTCGGTCCGTTCACATTTACCTCGTGCTCACTCTACAGGCTACAATTCTCTATAGATTCTTTTGATCTTTTGTATGTGTGTCAATATCATTATGAAGATGTGCACTATTGAATTTGGTGAGGATCCGATGATTTTCTTGAGAAATATTGCATAAAACTCTGATATCGCGTTTTTAACTTTTTTAGCTCGTGCTCACTCTACAGGCTACGATATAGAGTTTGTTTTACAGTTCACATTTAGCTCTTTATCAAGCCGCTGGTGGGCGTATTCGTTTGCGAGACTTGCCGCAAGCCTATGTTTTATGAAACCTTATGTTGTGAACCATGTTTGTTTATTTTAGATATGGAAGAAAATCCAGAGACACGACACCCCAAGGTAGAAAGGTAAACATCACCATTTATTATAGTAATATATTTAATCACAAGTGAAATTTCTCAGTTTTACTTGTCATTATGAGAAATTTGTAATTGTAGAAAATATTTTATCATAACCATCTTTCTTTAGACAGCTAGCTACACCTCTTCATTAGATTAAATAACTATCCCACCCTGCTATTATTTTACTTGTTTTAATCTATCTTAATCCACTATTTATAATATTATAATATACCTATTATTATGATATTTAATCAAGCGTTGGACGTATAAATAACAATCTTAATTAATGAAGAAGTCATTATCTCATCATTCAAATTGTTGTTTTCAGATTTTGTGTAATAATGATCAAGTAATTTACAATTGAAAACAACAAATTTTCTGAATTTTTTGAAGTTGCAATTTGTGATAAAACAATAATTTTTTTGAAATACAATGTAGTAAGGAAACAAGAGATACTAGATCCAAAGAGTTTGTACAACACATACAAATTCATAGGATGTACATATTTATTTGTTATTTTCAGAACCTGTCGTCCCCATCTGGTTGTCGGAAAGGTAAAGATTCACCATCACCCGAAGTTATATCACAGGCTAGATTTGAGGTATACAATTTACTTTTTACATGACTTTACAATTTTTACAGTCAAGATATTGAGTATGGTCTATATAGCCTATTATATTTTACAACAAATGCAATTTGAATGAAGTTAGGATCAAATGGTAGAACTTTGTATGCTATATATATGTTCTAGCAATGGCTTATTTAATCAGATTACAAATAGCTGGTGAAATAATATGTATCAAAACAACAAGATCTGTATCAGATAGACAGTCATGTTACTATCATGTATTGTTGTAATTGAGATTTGTTGCGTAATTTGCATTTCAATTTAATGAATAATGACGTGTGATATTTTTCAGACATATTTACGTATCAGATGTAACAGACAAGCACGTTTAAGTTGTAAGTAAAAATAGTTGATTAATTTATTTTACCATTAAATCTGATGTTGAAATTAATTACTTGCATCCTGACAAATAATTAAATGAAATTAAGATAACAATGTGAAATATGGTTTGTTAGATTAAGTTGTACACTATATTGTATTAGTTTACATGTTGACGAGTTGTAGAATGTAATGTAGAAGGTGAAGATATTGTCATGTATTATATCAATGTAATGTATCTGGGTTGTATTTATGGTGTGTCATTAATAACATGTAATAGAGTTGTATACTTGTCACTTGCTGTGTGGTATAGCTATATGATACACGTAGTATAGATGATACATAATACAATAAAACATACAATCATTTATGTAATGTTAGGAATTTTAGAAATCCGTAAAACACTGGATTTAGGGATAAGTTGACATTTTTTGGATTAAGAATAATGTTATATTTTTAAAACGTAATATTAATCTTAGATAGTGCGTAAAAAGGATTATTATGATAAGGTACAGGTGCAAAATAAAGCAAATATATACATATATATAAATTGTGTAATTTCAGCCCGAAGTAGAAACAGAAAGAAAAGACCAGGTGAAGATGGAGTTAAAGAAACATCCTGTCCTATTTGTAATGAAAAATTAACAGGAACATCTGAAGAATTAAATTCTCATGTTGAACTTTGTCTTAAAAGAGTAAGTCTTAATTCAGTGCACCATGGTTCTGTATATGTTAATCTGTACTGTTGCAAAGAAATTGAGTTGTCTTTCTACATCTTCCAAAGAGTTTAATACTATTTCTCTTTAAGTGAAAGGTCACTCACTTGGCCTGCTTGCTTCCTATCAAGATATTAAAATCTAGCTTTATTTATAGCGTGGTGATCTAGAAGATGAACCAGTAGATGTTGAAGGAGATGGAGAACAATATGAAGAATATACATGGGCTGGTCAAACACGAATCAGAGCTACTTCTTTATTAGAAGGTGGATTTGCTAGTAAGTATTATAAAGCTCAGGGTTATATTTAGATATTTGTAAGTGAAATTTTCATTTCCATATTAATGTCTCAAATATAAGATTTTGTGAACTCAACTTAGAATTGTAACGGCAACTGATTCATCGTCTTCACAATTTCAAACTGTGTCGAAGTTTGTAATAGCTTGACATTTCTTCGTTTGATTTGAAGAGATTACTTTTTTAGACAACATGTTGAATACTGTATACTGATATTATAGAGTCAGGGTTTCTAACCAGTAATTGTCGTAGAATATCACAAGAAGAAGACGTAGATTTAAATGTGGATGTCGATGATTCAGAAGAATATGGAACTCCTCAGTATCCTTTATCAATATGTTTAGTTGCTGAATATCTATATATGAATTTCTGCATTATCCAAATATAAGAATTACATGCATGATAAATGAATGGTAGAACAAACATCCTCCATAAATAAATGATGTTTTTTGGTGTAATTATCAGAAAAAATATTTCATATATGGATTCCTGATGTTTCAATACATGTAAAAATTTTGATGTTGTGAAATTGGCACTTGAAGTCCTACAGTGGATTGTTGATTTACATGCATCAGATTTGATTCATGGGAAGTAACTCCAAACTTTTTACTGATTATCGAGTTGATCAAATATTTCTTAACCATATCCAGATATAGTGAGGCTGATATAGTTCCTTTAAAATCTGATGAACCAAATGAGAATCAGGAAAGGTTGGCGCTGAGGGGTGCAGTTTTAGGGTAAGTTTATATACAAATATTTCCCTTAAAAAAATGATATTGAGGTGTGATATGTGTTTATAATTGTTTTCAACAAATTGTTTGTCAACACTAAATGTCACTATTTGATAATGATACATACCATAATATATTTACAATGTTGCTCAATTATGTAAAACTGTTTAAATTTTTATAGAAATAGTTCTATGAGTTATGATCCAGGACCATCCAATAGTATATCACAAACAACTAGTAATAGTTATATTAGTAATACTGATAGGTAAGTATATAGATTTTATTTATATATCATACAGGTCTATCAAGCTTTAAACATTGCCAGAAAATTACTTTGTAAAAGCATGAAATACAACAAGCCACCTAAATTTTACCCTGTTTGTCCTGTGAGTTCAGTTTTGATATAGATCCAGTGACTGGTATAAATGTGAATTAATACTTTATCTTCCAGTCCTTACAGTTCCTCTCAAGAATTAATTGATGCGCTAAAAGCCAAATTAAAAGATAAAGAAGATCAACAGAAAAATAAACAAAAATGTCTCATTTGTATGGTAAGTTCTTAAAAGATAATTTCATACCCACCTGGGCATTAAGCAGTGAAATTAAAACAATTGATAGATAGCATTAATAATATGACCACTTTTTAAAACTGTTTTGGTATTAAAATGTTGAGTTTAAACTTTAAGTTTAAATTTATTGTATAATTTTCTTTCAGGATGTTTATAAAGAACCTTTAGCCTCTATACAATGTTGGCATGTTCATTGTGAATCTTGTTGGCTTCAAACTTTGGTAAGTGTTAAATTGGTCTCAATCCAACTGCTGTGATCAGTCACTGCACTTTCCCCTTGGATGGAATAACGTTGGAACAAATTGGAATTTTGCTGTAAGAATTATATTTTAGATGGAATTTAGTAATAAGTAATTTCGTTTATTTTTCAGGGAGCTAAAAAATTGTGCCCACAATGCAACACTATCACCTCATCTTCAGATTTAAGAAGAATCTATTTATAGTATTTTATATTTGTTAACTCTAATTTATAGTATATAAATATTATGACTGGTTTTAATTTGACAGCTACAGATTGACTATCTGATTTCAGAGATAGGTCTAACTTGAGAAGTTAACTCAACTTGATATATTCTGTGTGGTGTAATGGATATTTTAATTATAAAAAAGTGAATCGCCAAATATTTTAAAGTGAAATTGAAGTTTATGAATTTGTCGTAATCATGTGTACAGTTTGAAATATTATTTTGTTCTGTTATTTACGTTTTCTTAAAAATAGAATAAAATCAAATTCGTTTGTGGTTGATGGATAACTTTCTTTCCAAACAACAATTTATTGTTCATGGCTTGAGAACATTGCAATGTTGAAGTAATAGGATGCAAATTATTTATGAGATCTTACAGCAAAATTTTCCAAAGGGTTTTTATGTCATTGCTTTTAAAATGCAAGTTTGGATGGTCTTGATTGTATTAAGCCTATGACAAACCACAACATCCATCATAATTGAATAAAATTGAGCTCACCTACACTAGGTTAATGTAGAGAATTTTATTATAAAACCCATTAAATGATGAAATAACATAACAATTAACAAAGATTAAATGATTAAATGGCATATTCTTGATTTTCAAAGCAAAAAAAAGAAAAATAATGTTACTTGGGAGAAAAAAAGAAAATTAAATGACTTGGGGATTAAAAAAACGCCATTAAAATATGAAATATCAAACAACCAAAAAATGAAGCACAATCTGGTCAGATTCGGAACATAACTATACATTCTAGGTTTCATAGTTTTTACACCCCCACAATAAAGTAGACAGGTAACGTTTTGCTTCTGACCCTGAGGTACACAAATATCTCTCCAGAAGAAAAGGCACATCCCAGAGATGACAGGTGTTTGATGATTGGTACAAACAAAGTATGAATACAAATGTTTAACACTTTATCTGCGTTTAGTTCCACCAAATCCAGATGCTGATCTGGTACCTGTACTACCAGATGACATTGAACTGAAGCCAGAAGACCCAGTACTTCTATGCCCAGATCCAAACCAAGATGAACCGGTGCTTCCATATCCTCTGTTTCCAAACCATGAACCTGTATTACCATATCCTGTGTTTCCAAACCATGATCTTTGTCCATATCCGTTGTTATATCCATTGTTTCGTCCTCCAAATAAATAACCTAGTAAGCCACCAGTAGCAGCTCCTGTCCAGAATCCACCACCAGTACCTGTATTACCACCTAATCCTGATCCTCCCATTCCATTTGTTGTATATGATGAACCTGAACAATAATCTGAAATGAAATAATTAAACTAACATATTAAGAGCTATCCATAAACCAACAGTGCAATATTTTTTATGAATTATACGATTGAAATGCGCTCCTGTTTTGAAAACTAAGAATGGTTTGCTTCTTCGACTGTGTAATATTTCTATAATTTATAATTTAAATTGGTGTGTGTTCTACCAGCCAATGAGCTCTAAACTTACCACTGCCAGGCATATACTCAGATCTAAATCCAGGTGGTGGTGGGCCTTGCGAGTGACCTTGTTGATTATTAGGATATCCTGTAGAGCTCTGTTGATTAGTTTGATGACCAGTTGAAATACATGACTTATAAATGCCATATATTATTAAACCTACAACACCTAGCATAATGATATCACCAAATCCAGATTTCGATTTTCTTTTACTCCTGGATTTAAAAAAAAAAGTTTGATTACATTTAATAATTCTTCATCATAAAGAAAAGCCAAAGTTGTATTACATATAATAATTCTTCACCATAAAAAAAAGCCAAAGTAGTATTTACAAGGAAATATTAGCATAGCAGTAAAAAGAGTACATCTGTTGCAGTCACTTTTTCATAGATTCAAAACTAGGCAGTTAAGAGAAGCCCAATAAGTGAAAAGTTCTTTGTCTTTGAGTCTTTTTTTTTTTTGGCTTAAAAAGAAACAAATATAAAATGTTTTTATTAAGTTACAAGACAGGCCATCAGGAATCTTTCTTGCATTTTAATATCATTTATAATATTTCAGTCAGTTAGAATGAGGAATACATACCCATAATAATCATGAGAGTCGTAATGTTTATTATCATAGTGACTAGAATACTGATTTGAATGACCTCTTTCCTGGTTATATCCTTCTTTTGTTAAATCTAGTTTATATTCCAACTGAAATGAAATAACAATTGTAAATCAAAATGCTGGTCTAGATATGTTTCAATTTGCTTTATTTTTGGTGTCTTCTGCAATTATTTTACAATGTGATGAAGTTGCGCGTATTTTCTCAAATTTTGTCCAAAGCTGACAAAGATTCTACTCTAAAGGGCCTTTTTATTTCAATTCATTGTATAAGAATAAGAATAAGAATTTTTAGTGTCATAGATACAAAGTAAGAAATCCAGATAAAAATCCCATAATAATATTCTGGCTTGTTTTATATTGATTGTTTTTAGATTGATTTTTTTGATATAGCTTCTTGTAATCTGTTTCTATGAATAAATAATCCCCTTTCTTGTTGTATGATGTAGTTTAAGCCTAATAAAAACAATACTTCTATCATATAAAATACAATTACAAGGTCTGTATATGTGAAAATTTATTTTTGATCTGACAATATTATTTGAATAGTATAATTACCCCACAAGATCCTTTTAAAACATACATATCTTCAGGATAATCATAACCTTCACATGTTACTTCTACTTCACCAAATCTATAGGCATTATCCATATCAGTTTTACATTCCCACTATAATACACAGAATACTGTTCAGTTTTAAAATCAAAATTATTTCTGACAAACTTACACTTACACATTTTGTCCACTAAACAATGAACACTTTTGCTATTCTAAACTGTGCTTCAATTTGCACCGTTTCGATTTTCAATCAGGCATCAGTGGTTCCTGCAATTAACCTAAAACTAAGTTTTTAATGATAACTAATCACAAAGGCATTATGTGATATGAGCATATTTCGTGATGAGTGACATCAACAAACACTTAGTTTTAGTTGAATTGCAGGAACCAAAGAAATTTTTAACAAAAACTATGAACTATACCTGTACATCAATACCATCTGATCCTCTATTATAACATTGTACAACTTGTGGTATAAACTTATTACAACCAGCTGTTCCACCAACACATTTTAACTACAAATATTCAATTTCTATTATTATCTTAACTAAAACAGATTGATAAGAACATATTCAAAATATCAATTCTTAACTAATCAATTGCTTATAATGTAAAAGTAAACCAGCCATGATGATGTGAACCTTTGCTCTAAGCATTTCAAAGTATATAAAATGGGAGTTCAATCACTGATAAGATTCAAGGTCAATCTCATTAAGGGACTTCAAGGCAATCCCAAAATAGCCTAGAATATCAAAAGACCATATTTTTTTCTAATTTAAACTGATGACAAAGTTATAAATATAACCCAACCTGTGGTACAGGGGCTGATCTTCTAGAATTTGTATTATAACCATGTTTTAATGTTAATACATTAATATCTGACAATAATACACGATCTTGATGATATCCACCTATAATATTAATATTCTTACTGGGAATCTAGGTTTAATATGTCAATTTTAAGATTAGTAGATTATTGAAGGCTTATTGCTGTCATACATACAATCCAAAATGGAACTCCTGCTTTATTTTCTTCTGCATCTGGATGATGTTTAGTCACATGTGAACACATTTTTGTCTGCTCAATACACGATCACTGTATGTTGAAAGGAGAAATCTTATGTAATGCGACATTAAGGTGACTAAAAAGGTACAGTATTTAACTTACAGGAAGGCATAGAAGAATGAGAACTTACCTAATACTAATGAAACCAAACAAGTTATACTATACAATAACTGATGGACATGTAATATCTCCATTTTATCTTCTTACTTCAGTCTTTATTTACGCAACAGTTTTAATTCTACCAATAAATGATATAGTCTAGATAAAAAGCAATCAATATATATACTAGAATAACTGAATATAAAATCAAATCAATAAAAGTCACAAATATATGACAAGCTCATTTAGATTGTATTTTTACAACAAAGGTCTAGAAGTTACAGAATGTTTTACAAGCTGATCCACCCATCAAGCTGGCCCCCTTACCCTTACCACTGTAACAATTTAACATCCCTACAATTTTTTAGAAACAAACCTTCCCACTCGGTTGACTAAGTTCACAAGGTTTTGTGTCAATCTTTGTTAAGCCTCTGACAGTCCATGGTGTGCATTGCATACAATACATAATAGTGTAATTCTTAAATTGAATTGAGAAACTTTCTGACCATGGAACTGTAAATAGATAGATGTTCTCACCAACGCATATATCCTACACTATAGTACATGATTGAAATTGAAAGTAAGCTAATGTCAATGAGGAAGAGGAATAGTGAAATTTGCCCAAATATTGATAATATATGTTTCTCTAAATCTTCTAAAAATGCCTCAACTTACCAATAACTGGAATAGACAAAATCTTCAAATGCTGATCTGCGTATCTGAAAATACTAATAGATATTTTCAATCCAATCAAATTTCGACCAATTTCATTACAGATTGTTTATTTTTATCTTCACCGGAAGTGATAAAATTAGTCGGGATTAACAGGTCGCTCTTGAAACGATTAACCTAAAACCATTGAGTCTTAAGCAGAAATGAATAGTGAAGTAGTTTGCTACTCTGGACACGTGCCTAAAATACTAGTAAACATCGAAATTCAGCAAAACTGAAAAATACACAAAATCGGACTTTCTTGTAGTTCCATAATGTTTATTCGTAGCTATAAAGTAATAAATATTTATATTTACGTCATAGTTATTAGCCAATGAAAAAACGAACACCTGCAGATTCACTTCAATGCCTTCAATCCTATAATAACTAAATGGGTTTTACTCAAATCACGATGAAAGTTTCATTCCAAATTTCATTTTTTTAATATGTCTAATTCAAATTTTTATGTAACAACCATTAAGAGGTTAAGAGAGTGCCCTTGATTCCCACATTTCTCGATCTTATGAAGACTTGCCAACAAGAATGAATAAAAATATTTGTCAACTATATAGGCCTATATCAATATAGAACTGCAGAGAATCAAAATTATGATTAAATTAAAAAAAAAAGAGATTGTGAAGAGGTTTTCTAAATTTGTTATGGGTATTGGGGACATCAATTTGCACCGTTCCAATTTTAAAACAGACGTCTGTGACTCTGTGGTTCCTGCAGTTTCACTTAATTTTAGCATTTTATGCAATTTCGGTTTGTAAGGTAGCATCGACGTATTGACGTGTCTGGCGTGTTTACTGAATCTCAATTCTGATCATAAACAATGGGAACTTGAGTTGGTTGTCACCAATAAACAGATAAAACCTTGGCATGAAGTTAAAAGAGCAAGTAAAATCTCAGCTATTGATATGTTGTTCATTTTTCATAAAACATCCATCTTTGTGTGTTATATAAATTCAAAATGAGCTTGGGTGGTAATGTTAATTTGATAATCTGGAAAATTAATTGTACTTCAGTACTAAATGATTAAAGTTAGCTTTTTTCCCTGTCTGATTACCTATATATAGTGTAAACATTTTGTGTATTTATCTAATACTTTCTGCTAGTGATTTCTGTTTAATAGTGACTGGTTGTTCTTCCCTAATCTCTCTCAATCCAACTGCCTTAGGTCAAAAATAATACCTCTGGATTTTTTTTACCGGGTTTCCCCCTCAGTGATGCAGGTATGAGGCCGGGCTGGTGTTACTTGTCTTCATTAGCCCAGTGCAGAAAAGGAAGACGTAAAACTTGAAGAGAAAATTTTTTCTGTAGGCTCTGAGGAAAGTCTCCACTAGTTTTTTTTTTATCTCATTTGTCATACAAGACACAAAGAATGAATGTTTTTAAGGAGAGATCCCTTTTTTTAAACAACTATTTTTTCCTCAGAAACATTTTTTGCATGTGAAGAGTATTTTAGTCCATATCTTGTAAGTTCATCAGAAAATATTCTCAGGAAAACATCTTCTTAAAGGAAAGGGGAGTTGTTGAAATCTAATATTTGTAGATAATGTGGTACATAGTTTTGTCACCTTCTCAGGATATTTGTATCAGAACCACCATTTGCTCAATCGGTCTGATGACCAGTGAGACCAGGAAATAATGTAGTTGGTCAGGGGACCACTTTGTGTCCTACTGCCAAGATAAGAAAGCATATATCCCTGTCACTCCCAAAAAATGTCCATACTGCGTTGCAAGGCCAAGAAAAACTGGCTTAGAACAAGTTCAGGTTGGCATAAGAATGAACATGGCGTGTAACAGCAACTTTTTCTGACATTCATTATATCAATTCTTCAAAAGGATGATATAAATATCAATTTACTGAAGATCAAATTGATCTGAAATCTTCCAGCTAAAGCCAAAGTTTTTTTTTTTTCAATTAATGGACTTTCCTAGAGAAGGTTCTGCCATTTGAAATACAAATGGAAAGAAAAACAAATATTTGACATTGATGAATATTGAAATTTTTTACTTTCAAATGATCATGACATATACTTGTACAAAATACAGATTACACATTCATGCAAATTGACTGTAAAATAACTGGCATACCCAGATAAATAAATTTATAAAGACAAAGCTCTCAAACCCAGTCGAAATTGCAGTTATTATACAAAGCAAATGTAGCACATATTGAATATAATTCTTTTATTCTATACTTTGACAATATAAATTTTATCTACATGTTATAATGTATCATTTTGGTTTGGAATATTTTAATTCATATTTTCAAAAGTTCAACAGCCAATTCAAATTTGTTTTCTTAACTCAAAGTAGAGATCTTTTCTTCAACAAAATGATTTGTTGAAATACAATTTGTAATTCACAAGAAAACATCAAAATATTTTTTGTTCAATATATACAACTCAATTCAATACAAAGAAATTTATACAATTTGTTAATATTTAAGAAATATTAATTTGTGTTAAGTTAACAATTGAATAAAGAATTTTACTTAGAATCAAAGAATTAAGCATTGCAACTTTAGTCAAAACATTTTTGGTTTATTTTATCAAATTTGCCATTAATATAACACAAAATATAATGAAGCTTTGCTACTATCTATCAAACAAACATAGAAGTACAGTTATATTATAAGAGTTTTGGCCCCTGTGAATTCAGTTGTTCTAAAAACTAGAGAGAAATACTGATAAAAACTGAGCACACATTCACTAAAAATAACAAGCATACAATATACTTTATAGTTGATGGTGTATAGTAAATTCTAGACAAAATCTAAGATGTTGATAGTAAATATGGTGATAACATATAATGATATTGAGATTTAGTTAGTTTAAAGTCATTTCAATTTGATTTCAGTCATTTCTGTTCATTGTAAACTGTATGTAATACTCATTCCTGATTATAGCACTTTTATCATGGATATTTCATTATCATTACTTGTTCAAATAATTGTTATTTTGATATCATTTATATTAAATATCATTATCAGGTGGGGTGTTTAATATCATTAAGTTAAATATTATGAGAATAATGTTATAATGATGTTACTAATAATAGAATCGATGATTATTGAATGTTTCAACAATAACAATACAGTCACAACGTCACAATATTTTAAAATTGTAATAATGGTATGCTATATCTGTAATAGTGCCTTAATTTGAACTTGTTCAGAAATTTTTCAAATTTATGTAAAGAATACTTAGATATTTTTGTTCACATTTTGCCGCCAAATTATTCAATAACTGTACCGCAGTCAAATAAATTGATATATGTAGCTCAAATGATTCCTACAGAATTGAAGTAGTTATCAAATATCTCAATCGATATAGGCCCTATTGACAGATATAGGTGTACATGATGTAATATATTGGTACATTAAGAACAACGATTAAGAGCAATATTAAGATGGTAAATATGACGATGATGACCAAAGTTATTTAGAGTAAAAAAATGACGTGATGATGTTGTTATTTCTAGAATGATCACGATGGTAAACTAGCTAAACTTTAAGTTACTGAATATTTTGATTATAGAATGTCTTCAAGTCATATTAAGTTTTCTCCATTAAGGTAACCTTAATTTTACTAAATGACTTCCAGCTGTGTAAATCAAGCAAATATCATTATGTAAACATCTTGCTGTAATAGTTATTAGCTTTATTGGTACCAGCATTGTATTTGGGCCTCAATTGCTGACCAAGGTTCTGTATATACCACATTTGTGAAACCCTGTTCTGCTTCTTTTTATCTGATGACTTCCATATTTTGGATTTCTTAACTTATCCGAATAAAATGGCATACATAAAGTGACTTGAAGTATCTAGAAGTACTGTGTCCTTATATTCATCTTTTATATATTGAGAAAAAAATTGCAAAATTATTTGCTGTTGAGTTTAGAACTCAGTATATAAAGTATAAAATAAATAATACCCTCAAAGATTTTAAATCTTAAACAGGCAAACTGTAATAAAATGTGAAAACAATATTTTAGAATTGAGTACCATCAATTTCTTGTGATATTATTGAACTACTACTTGTAGAACTTGACTGTGAAATGATAAAAAATTCAACAATTGAAACATAATGAAATTCCTAACAAATATGAACTCTAAAAACTCAATGTAAACTATTATACACTGTTCATGCAAACTAATAATAATATTTCTGTCTTCAGCACATAATGAGATATTTGACCTCTATATAAAGAGACTAGAGGTGACAAGTTATACAACAATTAGTATATATATATATAATTATATATAGCATTATAATTACTATATCTTTAGTCTCTATTCACAAGTCTTTCCATTTTACTTTATCATCTTTTATTGTGAGCATTATCATCAGATGTTGGTTGCATTGATCCATATACTTTTGATTTGATTATTTAAGCGTGACTGATATTTCGATGGTAATCCATAATCCACAACAATACAATAACGTAGATTGTCGTTTCAGTTGATATTAAGTAGATTATGATGTTATCCGAGATATTCTATGATAAGAAATATAATGAATATGACTAAATTAAGATTCTTGACGGAAACAAACACAATAGAAATGTTTTCTCACAATATTAGCTACACAAATATACAATTTGAGCGAACATTAAGGAGGTTCACTGAACCAATAATTTGTGTAGTAAATGATATTCTGTTAAATAATGGAAGCAGATTTGGGATCAGCGCCCTCTATTTATCACAAGTTACATAACTCTTTATCACTCCATGATTTTGTCATAGTTTAAATTAAAACATTTTGAATTCACAACAAAATCCACAAATTCAGTTTGTCTGAAGGCTCATCGCGAAACAACCTTGCACTTTTATGACAGAAGGTCAACATTAATGTCAAAGGTTAAAGTTTGTTTCACATAGTATCATTTGAAATTCAGGGCTGACTAGAATAATATTCTCTTCACTCCATTTGACTTTCAATTTGCATAATGATCAAAAGATCCCAGATATTCTAGAGCAGCTCTATAACAGAACTGATACTGATCCTGAAATTAGACAAAAAAATTGATAGATTCAAACTCAGGTTTAAAAATAGGCAAATTAAACTGTAATGGGAAAAAGAAGCATCTTTGGAATTATTGATGCTGTATGTTTATAAGAAATCTTCTGAACATTTCCAATACTTCGTAAGCAATGCACACAGTCACATAGATTTCAATATACAAGGATATAACTACATCAAGGCAAATGACGCATATGCCTCATGCCAAATTTGACAGAAAATAAATTTTGTATGAAAAATCAAACATACAAATATGATTTCCACTAATTATATCCTTTACCAAAAGCGTTGTAATGAAAAAAATAACTGGATTATTGTCTCATAGAAAAAAAAAGACCCTAGTTATGTAAATTTATAGAATATTGAAAGTGTTACCTCTGTCTGCACCATTGCTGGTCTCTGTGTACGTAACATTTTGACTGTTTGGAACATATCGACAACACCTTCATATCTCATTCTTTCTAATACTATACTGAGAGTTATAAAACCACCTGTACGACCAACACCAGCACTGTAAAAATAAAAATATTGTTTAATTATCAGCATATAAAAAGCAAGATATTTTGTCCTTTCTATCCAAAGCTAACATGCTTGTGACATTTTTTCCGCATTTCTTACTTTGTACCACAATAAATGGTAAAAAATGTATTCTTTTCTTCCATTAATGAATTCAAAAATCCTTAAAAGTCAAGGCATTAGCCAACTATTGAGTTTTTGCAAAGTCTGATGCATATAGCACCATTGATATCTGTTCCATGTCAGACCCTCATCATTGACAAGGGAATGTAGGAATAAAATCAATAATATTTTTAGCTTAGTATTATTTTCTTACCTGCAATGTACAGTAATTGGTCCTTCCTGCCCAAATTGTTCTTTAGTTTTATGAACCTGACCAATGAAATCAATGAAGCCCTCTCCTGATTTGGGTACACCTTGTTCTGGCCAATCAGTAAACTGAAATTGTCTGATTGTTCTGGATTGACCATCCTGTAAAATAACAAATAAAATTGTTGTGAGATTAAAACCTGATTATGTTATTTTCTTTAATGAAATTGAGCCAAGAGTTGGAAGTCATGACCAAATGGTAGTAAAATTATAAAATGTTGAAGTGGCCTCATGTAGTTTTATCAGAAAATATCATATATGAAATTCATGTTATTAAATGCACTGAGTAATATTTTGTTTCATGAGAATGGCTCATTAATATATTCAGAATATATACTTACTCTGGCGTCAGTGACTTTAAATTCCCGTAATATATATTGTGGCATGTTGTACTCTGTCATAGGATCAACAACAAAATACTGATATCTAGCAGATCGTTCACTGGGCCAATATTGATGACATTTTTCCTGAAAAGTTAATCGGTATATTACCATTCATTCTAATGATGATGAAAAGCCATACTTGTTACAAGAGCTTCCTAACACTAGCTCTAGCTCAAACTTCAAAATGGCTCTTATTGTTCTACAAGAAGCAACTTCAAATATAAGCAATTAAAATCCCAACATCATAAGATTGACCTGAATTAGGTAAATAATCTACTACTTACTCGACCCATTTCTCGTAGTTTAGTCAACATGACTATAATAGTAGAATTATGTTCCCATAACATTCTCCAGAAATCTTCAGTTGTTTCTGCTAGTGGTCCCTGGGTAGCAATATATGCCTTTCTATATCGATACCCCTATAATAGAACAATTACAGCTTTATTTCAAATTTTGAGGATTTTTGACAAAAAAAAAAATTTTATCAAAGGTTCAAGAACTGGCCTATTTGAGGTAGACATGACAGTTTTTTTTTATTGTGAAACGTTATTATGAAAAAAGTAACTTACATCTATAAAGCTTGCATTGATATAATCTGAGCCATCTACACCCCTTATTGGTTGTAAACAAACACGTGTTGATTCATCTGAAAAAAATATTTCAATAGAAATGAATTATAACAATGAAAATGTTCTGAGAAGACAACTAGAACTTAGTGGGATCTGAAATTTCATTCAATTATGCCAACTTTGATACTATAGGATATCAAAATCATACATCATTCAAGTCTTGTGTGAAAACATACCTTTCATAATTGAATTTAAAGTTAAATGGTACTTACATGGTAAAATATTAACAAGTCTATTTTTAAACTTATTAGCAGGTAGATTAGCACTAACAAATCTATTCGGACTAGCTTTCATATTAGCTAAACGCTGTAAATAAAACATATTATACTATTACAATATCAATCATTATAGCCATAATTATCATAGAAAATTCCACAGTTGGTATCTACGACAACCACAAATAACAAAATCAGATATCCTTATCAATTGATCACAAGTGGTTTTAAACACAGAACCTTGTAAACCATTGAAATATATACAGAAATGGAATTAAGGATGCTTACCTTAAATTCTAACTCCATACCAGTAACAGTCTCTCCTGGTTCTGGCTGGGTTAATTTCTGAATGTGAGCAGCTAAATTTCTAGCTGGTACCTCAGTATTACCACATTGTACAGCCTCTAATAGAGCATCATGTATAAAGATATACTGATCTTCTGTCTGTACCATATAATTTCTTTGAGCTCGTAAACAAGTCACATGACCATATATATCCACTGTTTTCTCGTGTTTAATTCGTTCTAACATAGCATCAATAACAATAAATGCACCAGTTCGACCCACTCCAGCACTGTAAATAAAAAATATTTTTTGTAAGAATCTGCAAGTAAACGTCATGAATGGTCATAATTTGAACATTCAACTTACAAGAGATGTGGTATAGTTTTGGACACATATTTAGCAAGTTGGCAAGTTTAACAAGTTTTCAACTGTTGGTTTCTTATTGTGTGTATAGAAGTCTTTATTTAGTGAAATCTCTAAGAAAGGACAAATTCTCAATTACCTGCAATGAACAACCATAGGTCCAGCATCAGGTGGATTACTACATTTAACACGTCTCATAAACATTAATAATGGTGTAGGATGATCTGGTACACCGTGATCAGGCCATGCTGTAAATTGAAATTGTCTTATCTCTCTCTTCTCAGGACATCCATACTAAAATACAATATTTCATATATTCATTTACATAATACTGATGGCTCTGCAGTGATTTCTGCAACATTTGGAGATGACAATTTATCAAAATAACACTTATAACTGTGGGATAAAAAAAATTTAATTCTGGTAGAATCTTTTCCCTACATTTTTATGGTGTATCAATCAAGTGTATGATAAAATTGAATGTACTGAAATTTAATTTCATTGTTATTTTTAACTTGGTAATTTTCTGAGCATCTTAACAGTAACAGTAAAATTAGTATAATATACTTACTCTAGATAGATGGAAAGTTCTCACAGTGTATGTTGACAATTCTGTAACATCTACTAACTGTATATGCATCAAACCATAAGTTTCTGTACCCCGAGATGGCCAGTATTGATCACATTTAATCTGAAAAAAGAAAAATTAAAAGTTTATACACCATGCAGTGTGTGAAAAAGGCAATTTAGCCAAGAAACGTATTCTTTGATTTCCAACTAACTAGGGATCTGCAATATGCACCTCCAAAATTTCAGCGTTGTTTGGTTATGATCTTATCCTATTGACTTTCCTCTCAGCCTCTCCCAGTTGAATCATTGATAGGCAAAACCAGATTGAGAAATCAGAAGGTACACAGAATGGGCCATGGCCACTTCCTTTGGAAATGAAATAAGATCAACGTATGTAAAGTAAATTAGCTATTTGCATCTAGAAGAAATCTATTAATGAATTACTATTAATATTACTGAATGATATCTTACCCTAGATCTCTCTTCTAATTTAGTCATCATAACAACTGTTGTACATCTTTGTTCCCAAACCATTCTCCAGAAATCACCAAATGTTTCTGGTAGTGGACCCTAAAAGAACAACACAGTATTGGTTTATAAAAAAAATCATAGCTATGCAGAATCTTATTTTAATGAACATGGGAAGGCAACATAAAATATATAAAATGCATCAAAAAGTTCTCTGTTATTATTAAGTTACTACTGGTAAGAGTATCTTATCTATCAGCTGGTACTCGGTGAAACCATTGACATTGATCTTTCCTAGATTATCCGTACCACTGGAAAACTCGTTCAAGAAGCCAACCAAGATCAGAACCCATGACCACTATTTGTTCTATGCAGCCAAGCCAATTAGGTAAACAAATGAATAATGAATTACCTGGGTAGCTATATAAGCATTCTGTTTTCTATAACCATCCATATAATTACCATTAATATAGTCACTGCCTGGTACGCCATCTATTGGTTGTAATATGACACGAGAATGATCGTAAGCTATAACATTAGCGTAACGATTCTTTGGTTTATTGACTTCTAGATTAGAGTTATCCCATGTAAATTGTTGTCCAGGTTCTATTGATTCATATTCATGAGAGAATTTAAGGTTGTCGTTATTTTTAAGGTTATCTATATGTTCAGCTAGTCTTTCTATAGGTATTGGTGGATGACTGATCATTCCTGTAATTAATAATATATAATTTTTAGCATTCCACATAGCAATGAGATAATGTTCAACTTAACTTTACAGTGTACTTTATGAATTCTGACTTCTGAGCATTATGACAATCTCAACAACTCAACATCTTTTTGGGACATTATATGGATTATTTCATTCTTGTGTCAGTTAAAAAACCCTTTGAGTAATACAACATTCTCCATAATCTAAAATATTTTTAAATTGTCAGATTTCACTGTAGTTTTTAGTTTCAATATTTGAGAAAATCTTCAAATAAAGAAACTATCAATTTAGCATAAAGTAGCAAGACGACTTTACATACAGTTTAATGTTTAAAAGAAAGTATACCTGGTGTTTGATAATGCTGTCTTCTCATTTCAATTGGATCAACTAGGAATGGTGGAGCATCAATCAACACCTTAGATTCAGGCTCTAACATAGCCCCTTTAGATTTGCCTTTTTTCCTGTAAAATGTGGAATGACAATGTTAAAAATTCAAGCTAATTAATAGAATCTTTATGTCAAATACCAATAAGTTCCAGTAAAATGCTATCATATTGTGACTTAAAAATCAAATTTTTTAGGTCATGTAGAAGTGAATTTCAAGTAAAATGCAGCCATTTTGTTACGTGAAATTCATATTGTTTAGATCGAACATTATATGTAAAAATAATAAAAATCTTCCGTACCTGAACATGAAGAAGATTACTAGGGCACAGAATAATATCAGAAGAACACCACCAGCACAGGCTGGGGCAACAATTAATAACAATGTATTGCCATCATCACTTTCTTCTACAATTCTATTATTATCATTGGAACCTCCTTGCACCACATTAACACCATATTCTATATCTCCTAAACTTAATTTATCAGAATAATCACTGGATGTATATAGTCTCTGAAATAACAAATATTACAGTCAGTTACCATTGTAACCTTAGTAGGGAAGAATGTCATTTCAATGTTTTTTAATTGAACAGGAAGTTGAACTATGTGACCTTCACATTCCAAACAGTTCACATTTCAGTTATTATCAAATACCATTCAATCAAATAATATATTTCAAGTTTCATTATAAATACCTCAACCAATACATAAACAAGGACAGTGTATTACAATTTCTAATCTACACAAGAAAATACTTCGGCATGAGGAAATATTTTTGGCAACATGATCAATCCACAACTATCTTTAATTCATGTTCACACAATTTGATAATTGATAGTTTGACACTCTAATTAACACCACAACATTAAAAAATACACCATAACTTACAGGATCAACAGTATAAGCTCTTAAGAAAACCATGTATTCTGTATCAGGATCTAATCTTCTGTTGAAGAATGCACCATATTCTTGTTCATTACCCAAATCAAATTCATCAGGTAAAGCATCCGAGTCAAATCTAGCAGCTATATAAGGATGAGAGGCTGGTTGATCTACACTTTGTTTCTCTTTTATCAACTATGAAATAAATATTTTACATGTTATACTATAACAGATGAATATCCAACTAGAGTTGAAAGAAGCCCATAGCAACAACCACAGAAAATTCTTTTTTCAAAAGGTTGGTATATAAATCGGAGCTACATTTAGTGATATGAGTAGCTAAGTGTCTTGAAATGACCAGCACTATATAAATAGATTATCATTATTATTAGTCATAAAAGTGCTAACTGTAGCCTAAACAAGTCATTGAAAGTTGTTTTGTATATGCTATGATATTTGCATGATTTTGTTGTAAGATTTCATTTTCTGTTTCTGAAAATCAGACAATAATATACTTACATTATCCATTATAAAATCTTGAGGATATTTAGCTACGCTGTGTTGTTCTGGTACAACTACCACTATATAGTGACTGAGAGGACCATTCTTCTCACTAGCTCTCTGTAATCTTAATGTTATAGTACCACGATATATTCTAGTCACCTGGGGTGTAGCTACCTCTGGTGGTGCTACAAAACAAAACATTAGATTTATGAATTAAAATGGCAGATAAAATGAAGATCTACATCCTATGTTTACAGACAGATATTATGTAAAGGAAGCAAAAGCACTAAGCAGTGTACAGAGGGAAATTTTGCCAAAACAGCTGCATTAGGGTACTCTTTTTTTATTTCAAATTGTCAAAGGAGCCTAGAGCACACAAGGCTCTCATCTAAGTCAAATCGAAACGACACAACATGTAAAATCCACTTTTCAGGGATGTACAATATTCAACCAGGATGAAAAATCGGAGCAAATTTTCATGTACACAGTTTATAACAGTCCCATCTGAACAACACATAAAAGACCCTTTCCAGAGATATGTTATAATCAACCAGAGTGAAATATCAGAAGAATCTTTTACAGGATGCCCCTAGACCAACAATCAAGAACTTAGCTCACTATCTTTCCACCACTCTGAAATATGTCATGCATTCTGTCAAATATTAAAAGACAGTCTTACCTTCAATCAGTGTTTCTGTAGAGATATGTACATCAGGACCAGGTATACCAGGTTCATCATGGAATAATGCTGATATATTGAAATTAAAACGCATCTTTGGTTGAAGATTTTGGAGAGTCCACATAGTTAATTGTCCTGGAATTTGTACTTCTTCTTTATCTTGGAAGATTTGTTTAGTCACACCATTTTCACGATAATTCTTAATTCCTTCATATCGTAGCTTAAAAATTCAAAACAAAATTGTGAATAACTGTGAAAGTTTATGTTAAGAAAATTTGAATGGTTTAATGTTTTAATGGTTTTATTGATTTTGTTGAAAATCTCAATCTCGTTTCAGAACTTCTCCAAACATGATATCAGGTGTCTGTTGAGTTGTCAAATTTGTTAACTTACCAAGTATGTATTAACTCGCTTCTTCTCTGGCGGATCCCAAGATAATTTGACAGTGTTAGGTGTTCGCATGGTAACGCGGAAGTTGCGAACAACATCTTTGCGATCTATGAAATAAGAATCTATTAAATGAAAAAAGAAACAAAATCCGTTGATTATGAGATGAGATGAAATCTATCAACTACTCTACATCTCACACGGGATAGGTTGGTTTATAATCAACATATAGGCAGTGATTAATCATTTTATACAGTTTCTTCATCAATATTTACATCTAAATACAATTTGTGCATGAATGTTTACAACCAAATACATTTAGTTCATCATTGTTTACAACCAAGTAATTTTGTAATCATTGTTGACAAACAACTACTATTTGTATATATATTTGTTTACAACCTAATACATTATGTGATCATTGTTCACAGCCAAGTAAACCTTGTAATCATTATTTACATCCAAGTAAATTTTGACCAAATTAGACACTGAAGTCAAATAAGATATTTTGAAAGAAATACAGTATAAGATTAATCATCTGCTCAAGCAGTATTGTATATTAGTACTATTAGAAGAATGACATGTTAATATTAGTCAAAACACATCTAGTGAAAATATGAAAATTAGTCAATAATTTTAGTTTATTTTGGGTATACTTTGTTGAAGAGGCACATGTCTCATTTACTCAAGCACTACTTTGAACATTTACTGAAATCCATGATCTCTGACGCTACAATACTATCTGATTTTCTCTTCTTTATAAAGTAGACTATACTATATGTATATAACTCTGTACATATATAGGTTATAATGTACAGGATAAGAATCTTCCACCATGATGCATTTTACAAATATTGATAGAGGCTTTAAAACCATTTAATTAGATATAAATCATAAAAGTTTACATCCTTTAAAAAATCAAGATATGGGTCTTTCATTTTTCAATTCTCTCTGATAAAGATCAATCATTTTTCGTTTAAAAGTTTACAATATTTTGTAATAACCCTTATATACAAATGTTTAATTTTGAATTCCCTCTTGTAGAGGTCTATTTAAATTTCCATTCGATTCAGCCTATCATTATTTGTATGAGTTATTAAGCGATATATTACTATAATTACCTGTAGGAACTGGTTTAGTAATTTCAGAATCTGATAGATTACCATATCTACCATCTACAGATTTAGCCTGAACCTTTACAGCATAAACTGTATATGGTACTAGACCAGTTATTTCTGCTACAGTATACGGTCCTGTCTCTACAGATTGCCATACACTCATATCAGGAGTATCAAAAGCATTATAATAAATTCTGTAACCAGCTACTGGGAAGTTAGGTTCATCCCATGTTACTTCTACAGTTGTTTCTGATGTTCTACGAATATTAACATTTCTTGGTGCTGGTGGCACTGTAAAAATATTGTGTTTGAACATTAGTTTTATCCTTAATATAAGATCATATGATTTGGCTCAGCAAAAATGCTGGATTGCTGAAATTGAGCTGGAACATTTTATTCATAACAATTTCCTTCTTATCAATATCAATTCACCTACTATTGCATTACTTCCATCAGATATGATTCAGTGTATAGACTTAGCAACAAATGATATTTCTTGAAGGGATATTTTTTCTTAATTATTTAATTCCCCAGCAAAGAGAGATCTATTTCAAATAGCCATACCATTTGTCAGAATTTAATTTCTACAAAGTCACTTAAAGGTTCTAAATAAGATTCTCAATGGCATTCCTCATTATTCAATAATTGCATGCAAATTCTTTTTTATTTAGGTTTTTTAGGGGAAATTTGGACTTTAATTCTGAAGAGCAATTCAGATGGTTGCAATGGTGCTCATCAATTAACTGGTACAGAGTTTCTGTTGTAAAATATACTGTTGTCTAGTAATACTTACTTCTACCAAATGTTCTAAAATGAAGTCTGTTACTCCAAGGTCCTGAACCACGACTAGTATAAGCTTTAATCTTAAAGATATAATCAGTATTCATCTCTAATCCTTGTATATCCATATAGGTATCAGTAATATTTAAATCTTCCTCATTAACAGGATCTGATAGTTTATGATACGTTATCTGGTACATTCCTATATCACCATTACGAAGATTTCTGGCTGGTAAATCCCAAGTTAATCTTACACTAGTCTCTGATAATCCTATAGCCGTAAAATTCTGAGGGGCACCAGCTGGGGCTGTAACAATAATAATTACAATATGTTAAAGATGCTAGACTATTTTTTTTTTTTTATAAATGATGGATAGTCACTTCCCCCTTAAAACATTTGAGCTTTATCAGAACCCTGTCTAATTCAGAAATTTGCCGAACAATGCAAAATTTAACAAAGAGCAATCAACATTAGAGATTGTATAGATGAGTTTTATATTTCAGTCAGAGCCAGGGCAATTTGATCTCCAGATATAACATTCCAAGTGTCAACTTGTAGATACAAATGATGTATATCAGCACACTTCCACATGTACTTTCAGGTAAGTATGAAATTCTTTTTTTTTATCTCCCTTATAATGTAGACAATATTCTTAAAACAATTTGTCTGAATTTCTGTAATCAATGACGTTACTGATATTCCAAAATTGTGTTTATGCTGAAACTATCAAGAACCTACCTCCATCAGGTGTACTCAGAGTTTCTACAGCTCTCTCTCCATAATCTACATCATTCTTAGCTAATACACGAAATTCATATTTGGTACCCTTATCTGTAAATAAATTTATTTCCATCTCTCAAAACTTAGTGACCTTGGTTTCAAACTTACTGTTTAACCCCTGAAGATCAGTGAGATATTGGGAGTTCCAATAAGCTTGCTGTCAATAGAATTGTCTAATTCTATATTGAACCAAGTACAACCAAGCTGAGAACTGAAGAAAAATTCACGACTAATATCAATAAGCGAAATAATATATGGGTAATATTACTATATGGTTTATACTTGGATATAATGTGGACTAAAATCGCCATCTTAAAAAAAAACATGCTCACAATATAAACTATATAATACATGTACAAACTTGGTATAGAGATGCAACATAATCATACCTAAAGAATAAGTTACAAAAGAATACTTTTCTGCCGGTAGTATTTTCTCGACATATCTTTCCCCGAATCTACCCCATATAACCTTGTAGTTTTCTACATTGCCATGAGTGTCTCGAGGTCGTTGCCAGGTAACCTTAATTCTGGGTGGATCTTCCTGTATCAATTCAAGATGGAGGTTTCTAGGTGGTGTTGGTACTGAAGAGAAAAGAATAAACCATTAAATTGAATGACTAATTGAGTATCAGAAAAGATAGAAAATATAGTGGTACAATAAAAAAAACATGGATTTTTTTGATTATGGAAACATTTGATTTCTTGTATTTCAATCATTAAGGGTTCGTTTTTTAAATGATGAAAAAATTTGTCTTCTCACATATCTAGATCTAGACAAAAACCAGAAAAATACAATATATTTTACAATTATCCTTTACCTGCTCCTTTGGTTGTTATCAATTTAGATCTAGATCTAATACCATCTCCTTTTCTAGTATAGGCTGCTACATTAACCATTATTCTAGTATCAGGATTAAGTCCTGTGATAACAGCCTCACGTTTATCTCCAGAATAGGTATCATAATAGGGAGCAGAAGATATGGGTTCATCATTTCTATTAACTTCTACATAATACACCTGATATCCTCTTATAATACCATTAGCATTAGCTGGTGGCTGCCATTCCACAAATATGGTTGTTGAATTGATGACTTCAATGGTGACTTTCCGTGGTTCTCCAGGAACTATTTTATCATGAAAGAGATTTCAAGGTTAATTCAAAATTCTCAAGATATCAATTTTTTGTAATGTGAAAGAATTGTTTCATGGACAATTCTTTTTTTCCAGAATAATGATTTCACTGTCAAGATACAATTTCTAATTTTTAACTCCAAACCAACATTTCAAATTTTTACACTTTCTTACTTTCAAAACTAGAGATCACAAAAAATTTCAATAAGAGATGCCAAAGACCATTCAAGAAAAATGCGAACTTTGTATTAGACGTGCAAATAAGCAAAGTGAATAGCCTTTTGAAATGTGTATCTTGTCATGGTAAAATCATCAATTTAAGATCCAGATTGGAAGAAAAAGGAAGAGAAATTTGGAGGATCATGCTTTTTATTGAAAATCTCTTTTATTGCAGCCATATGCATAATGGAATTCCAAAAATGGCACAGCCAAATATTATCTTCTTCAAAAAATTCATATCTTGTTTTAAAACAGAAGATAACAAGCATTTCAGATGAAAAAAATCAATTTCTATAGAATCTAAACCAAACATTTGAAAACTCCAATAATGTTATGTTACATTTAGTTTGAATGCTACCATAAGGATTGCAATAGTTTTTTTGATGTTTTTTTTTTTCGTTTTCAGTCTGTAAAATAACAGACAACTGTATTTAGTCTGAACTGTAATATTTTACTACCTAATATATTTACTACTAGAATATTGATATATGACTATATAATCTGAAATGCAAGTTATTAAGAACATGTCTCTGGAATAGAAAGTATTACAGATGAAGAAACAGAGTTAGAAATTTCATGCAACACAATATTGAAATGTAAAAATACAACATGCAGTATTTATACTTACATAGATATATTAACATCTATTAGTTTTGAGTAGTTTAGTAGTTATAACTACTATTGTTAGCGTTTTTATTATGATCAAACAATCAATTCATGATTTATTTTAGTTGATTTTAAGATGATATTAAATGATGAGTGTGAATAACGTCTAAGGGTTTGAAACAATGAAACTAAAAAAAATGGTGGTAGGGAGATTCAACAATAAAAGCCAAACATGTATTAAATTTCGAGATGTTAATTTGGTGCAGAAGGGACTGTTTTATCACACGATTCTAAAGGCGTTATTGCCTGTGAATGTTATAAAACGCTGTCAGTATGCCACTTCAACAACACACTGTTGATAATTAGATAACACAGAAAATATCCCACTGGATGTCAAATCAGCCATTTTGAATTCATTCTGAATACTACAATCACATTCTCAAAGAATTTTCAAGTTTTAATTTCGCAATCCGTAACAGTTTATCATTTGATATATTCCAAACCAATGAAGAATTTTGAAAGCTCAAATGAAGAATTGAATGAAGGAATGAATGTGGATGTAATATTAGAATGAGAACCAGTTTTGATAAAAACCTACCATCCTCATCTGTTTTAACCAGAATAGGTTGTGAGAGGGGACCATCTCCAACTCTTGTATGAGCTCGTACTTGTATTTTATATTCAGTCCAAGTTGATAATTCTTTAATAATATAGGAATCTACGTCTGGTCTTAAACGTTTGACAATGCCGTCTGTTTCAATATTTCCTTCCTCATTCTTCATATAATACAATTTATAGCCTTCAAGTCTACCATTACGTTTATCTCGAGGAGGGGGCTTCCAGCTCACTTCTATCTCATGTGCGTTGAGTGGGCGTCCGCTGACTGCTTGTGGTGAGGCTCCCGGAACTAAAGTGGGGTTAAAATGGGGTGAAAAAATATGTGAAAATAAAAGAAACAAAAGGAACAGAAAAGAAAAATTAACACATGCAGTGTCATGTAACATGCTTTCTGATTGGTCAATTATGACCTAGATGTCTCTACTGTTTCTCTAGATGTTGCACATCAATAGCAGACTAATTTCATGCCGTAATTTTGAATGAATTTAGAATAGATCATCAGATGACTTCCAGGCAATCAAGTGTAAGCATCTATCAAGCACAATGCAATAAACAGAAGAGTTCGAAAAAAGTTATTGAAAATCTGGTTCCAAATGGTTTCTTATTTTGAGAAGACTTCAAAATGAAAATGACGTAAAAACAGAAATCATACACATTTAAAAACTTAATTGAACTCATGGGGGAGACAATATCACATTCACTTTAAAAAAAAAAAATCAAAATGACAACAGTGCTTCGATTCATTGAAAAGTTTAACAAAACCACGTAATCAAATTACATCATGTTTAAACTGTTCATTTTGACCAAAAAGTACTGAGAATCTGATAGATATAAAACTCAATCCTTTACAAAATATGAATACATACTCCATATTGACCATATAATGATCAAGACAAGACACACTTTATTGAAGGCTTGTAACACATTGTGACAGGACAAGAACTGAACACATGAACAAAAGAAATAATCTAATAATGGTGATCATGATGATGATGATAATGAATGATGATGATTTTTTGATTTTACTCACCCCCAAAAAGAAATAAATTTCCAGAAAATTTCATCAGTCTTTTGAACAATTAACAGACTGAGTAGATAGTAACAATATCAAACAAAATATCACAGATATAAATGATACATAGAGATACATGATACACAATGAAAGCCTTCAATGCATACAGCACTGATAACTAGACACAACACTGACAAAATACACTCTCAAAATACATAACACACTTGATATTACAACATCAAATTAATCATCATATCACATATCACAATACAAAACTTTTTTATATCTTTATTACGAAACCTTTTCATTGAGTATTAAATCCCTTTTTATAACAATGGACAGAGTCTTATTTTGGTGAAATCTCGGGATCTATTCGAGTTTGAAGACATCAGTAAGGTATGATCTGCCCTGTATTCAGTTATTTACTCATCATGCTGCCAGTCATCTATTGAAAATGTTCGCCTTCAATCAAATTGTTCAAGATTTTGACCTACTTGCCTATTTGACAAAAACTCATATCATATGCCTAAAAAGTTTGCCCTTGTCATAGTGAACAATGCTGAGAACAAAATATAAATTCTGGAAGCACAACATACATAATCTTACTCAACAGACCAAACAATGAAAAGGTTTCTCTCAACATTATACAATATAACATAAAGCATAACTTACCAAAAGGTTGAGTTTGAGCTTGTACCGTGGGTGTTTTAGGTCCCTCGCCTCGAGCTGATTTAGCTGAGACTTGGATATGATAAACTGTGTCTGGTGTTAGATCAACAAGTTTATATTTCTCTTCTGGTGGAGAAATACTAATACGGATATTTTGTCTCATGTGAGAATCATTATAATATAACTGATAACTATCAATCTTCTCTTTTTCTTGAGGAGCATCCCACATTACCAATATCTCATTAGGTGATATAGCATCAGCTTTTAGATTCAATGGTTGGAATGGCACTGAAAAAATCAAATATCATTAAATAAAGTATGGTTCAACACAATATCTAGATTTTAGAAATTTATTTAGTCAGAAAGTTTTTTGAAGAATAATTTCAAATTGCAGACGAATGCTATATGTTATTTGTTAGTATCATGTTTTTTTAATCATAATTGTAATTGCGAACATTATCACACGCTGCAAAAGCAAAATCGCAAATTCGCAATGGCAATGCAAGCAAGTAATAAGTGGCTTTCTCTTGTTTTTCCTACAAGAAAACAAAATGTTGTGAAATGTTTATTTCTAGGTGCTATTATATGCTTGGTTTGAGCATTACCAAAATGTATTTCAAAATGGCTACCAGTACCATATTCATGTTAATGTGAAAGTGCTTTTAGTAATGATATGTAGAGCAGACTTCTTTGGATATAGTGCTTATCTATAAATACCACCATAGTGACCTAGTGCTTCATCTATACTTGTGATATTTTCATTCTTCAAGGGATTGTAAAGAGGTTTTCTAAACTTTTTATTTGTATTAGAGAACTGATATCAATAATTTGTATTATTTCAATTTTCATTCGGAGGTCTATGAGTCATTCACTTTGACTATAACTAAGCGTGATATAAATACACTTAAGCAAAACCTCTCACTATCCCTTTAATTTCTAAATAATTTCAGCTGAATAATGTAGTGTATGTAACTGATTAATGTTGGATATCTAGTTGTGCTCTATGTCCAAAGAAACCTGTGCTCTGGTAACATAATGTAGGTAGTAAAATGTGGAGCAGAGCTCACCTGGTGGACCAGCTGTTATATTGATGAAATAAAAAAGAAATGTTAATAGATTAGTAAACAAACATTAGTATTATTCTTATAATATACAGCGCGCTAGCAGGCGCTTAGCTCAATAATCGCTTCATTTAGCACAGCAATCAGCCTAAATCAAATGCCCAGTGAACTATAGTCCTGTATCCATGTGACTTAAATAGTTTGATTATTAATTTATAGAAGTGAAGTGAAAGTGATTTTAGAATCAAATTTGATAGAATCAATCATTATGAAAAAATATGAATTTACAATTATAAGGCCTATTGAATTTACAATCTACAATATCAAAAATTGTCCAAAAGTGCAAAAAGTTTTACTGTGTTGACAATAAAACAGTGATAAGAAAAAGTAAAGAGAGTGGGCAATCAGCTACTTCAAAAACGAGCATGTGCGCACTCCTACAACAATTCAAATATAACTACTACGCAGCACACTATACATGTCGCGCTACCATAACAAAATGTTTAAAAGTACAGCCAATGAGGGTCTAACATTCATAGAAGAAAAAGTTAATAGCATGCGTCGCCAGCTTGCTGCTAAATGCTGCGCTAGCTTTAAATCTACTTTTAACGAACACACACAGTCACATATTAAGATGAAATGTCTGTTTTATGAACAGGGAAAATATCTGTAAAAATGGCAAGCAAAAAGAGATGATAGAATGGTTGTAGAAACTGGTTTCTATTGATTCATACATGATATACAATACAATACAGTATCAGTACTGATATAGATAACATGCAGTCCAAGTTGGACATTGAGAGAAATATTGAAAAAATCTGGAAGAAAAATCACACAGTTCCTACAAAAAGAAAATACCTCCTTAAAAATGATCGCTTTCCACCAACTTACCTTCGAATACAGGGTGATTTACTGTAAGAACATTAAAGTTTCAACCAAAAGAAAAATAGTGACCACTCACACAATCAGAAATCACACTCACTCACACACCTTATTCAATCACACCTTAAATTGAAAATTCAATTACACAAAGAACAGAGCGAGATTTTAAAGAAAAACTAAGTTTTCTAGTTAGTAGAGTTTTAAGTTTGTCCAGAAATCAACAGTAACTAAAACTAATTGTAGGGGAATAACTAAGGTAAAATCAAATGAATTCCATCATTGAAACAGAACTTAAAAAATTATAACAGAAATGAAAAGACAGAAAAAGGGAAAAAAATTGAACCAATGTATATCAAGGGAAACAGAAAATAGAAAGTTGCAACAAAATGAACAGAAGATTTGTGTAATTATTATTTTCAATCATTTTTCGCAAAATGCACATGATTCAGAACTTTCATGCATTTAAAATTGTCATCATGCACATGCAAATGAGAAACTGAAAATGCTTTTCTAAAAACTTAGTATTTGACCAAATGGCGGGATGAAATCAATTTGTTAATTTATCTATATTAATGAATATGATTAATTAATAAATCTGGTAATTTCATGCAAAACATGTATATATATTATTATAGATATATAAACAATAATAGCATGCACATATTCAGCTCAAACCATGCATATTGGATTAATGTAATGTTAGATTTAAAACTAAGAACTAAAGTCAAATGCAAGCTTATGGGAGACAACTCCGCAATGATTCTCATGATCTTCAGTAAGGCAAACAGCATTAGTTAGGCGCAGCAGCGTCCCAGTCTGAAATTTGATAAAGAATTCTTGCAATATATATGTTGATGTTGAAACCATGCTAGAAATAGTGTAATATACTTACCACCTTGGGTAGTTAAGACTTGTATTGGATGTGACATTGGACCCTGTCCAATGTTGGAGTAAGCCAAAACAGTGATGGTGTAGGTAACATTTGGTTCTAGGTCACTGATGGTGGTAACCACATTGTTATCGGTAACTTCTTGGTTCTCCCAGAAAAATATAGGTTTCTCTGGTGTGAGTGTATAAAATACTTTATATCCCTATAATATACATCATAATAATTATGTACATGTATACTATACTATTTCATTCCTTTTCCACCTCCAGCTAACATATCTACTTTAACATTACCAACAAATTATCAGTTTTCAGAATATAAGGAATGTCATTTGTGTAACGAAACAGGCAAGTGCTCTGCAAACCACTCCCATTCTAGCCCACTTTGAGAAGGTGGCATCGGAAAAAAAGAACAGTTTACTGAGCATGCCTTATGCATCCTTCACCTCTTCCCGCAAAAATTTGTCAATGATCAGTGCCATTTTTGCTAATATCAACATGTTAATGATTACAATATTCTCAATCATGTTATATAACACTGATTACAATATTCTCAATCATGTTATATATCACTGATTACAATATTCTCAATCATGTTATATAACACTGATTACAATATTCTCTATCATGTTATATATCACTGATTACAATATTCTCAATCATGTTATATAACACTGATTACAATATTCTCAATCATGTTATATAACACTGATTACAATATTCTCAATCATGTTATATATCACTGATTACAATATTCTCAATCATGTTATATATCACTAATTACAATATTCTCAATCATGTTATATAACACTGATTACAATATTCTCTATCATGTTATATAACACTGATTACAATATTCTCAATCATGTTATATAACACTGATTACAATATTCTCAATCATGTTATATATCACTGATTACAATATTCTCTATCATGTTATATAACACTGATTACAATATTCTCTATCATGTTATATAACACTGATTACAATATTCTCAATCATGTTATATAACACTGATTACAATATTATCAATCATGTTATATAACACTGATTACAATATTCTCCATCATGTTATATAACACTGATTACAATATTCTCTATCATGTTATATAACACTGATTACAATATTCTCAATCATGTTATATAACACTGATTACAATATTCTCAATCATGTTATATATCACTAATTACAATATTCTCTATCATGTTATATATCACTGATTACAATATTCTCAATCATGTTATATAACACTGATTACAATATTCTCTATCATGTTATATATCACTGATTACAATATTCTCAATCATGTTATATAACACTGATTACAATATTCTCCATCATGTTATATATCACTGATTACAATATTCTCCATCATGTTATATAACACTGATTACAATATTCTCAATCATGTTATATATCACTGATTACAATATTCTCCATCATGTTATATAACACTGATTACAATATTCTCAATCATGTTATATATCACTGATTACAATATTCTCAATCATGTTATATATCACTGATTACAATATTCTCAATCATGTTATATAACACTGATTACAATATTCTCAATCATGTTATATAACACTGATTACAATATTCTCAATCATGTTATATATCACTGATTACAATATTCTCAATCATGTTATATATCACTAATTACAATATTCTCAATCATGTTATATATCACTGATTACAATATTCTCAATCATGTTATATATCACTGATTACAATATTCTCTATCATGTTATATATCACTGATTACAATATTCTCAATCATGTTATCGATTTTTTTTACTTTTAGAAAACTTAAGATTATTACCTGAATAGCTCCATTAGGTATAGCGGGTGGGTTCCATGATACAACAATAGTAGTTGAACTGGCAGCTCTAGCTCGTACATTTCTGGGTTCACTTCCTGGTGCTGGAATAACAAAAAGATTTTTATTAGATATATATTATCAATTGATTAATATCAGAATTTCATAGGTTATGATAATTAGTAATGTGCATCATATTGTTAGTATTCTATATTAGTAATTAGTAACAGATTAAGAATTACTCAAAAGAGTAAAATCTAAAATAATTTCAATGCAATCTACATAGAATAAGCTTATATGAAAAGAAAAAAGGAAGAAATATCAAGGAGATTCCTTTTTCTTAGGAACCTTTAAGTTTTGACAGTTTCCTATAGTAAGGCAGGGGTAAATGTTAAAATGTAGATAAATATTCAATTATTGAAAGTATCAGTGACTCTCAAAAATAGTTGACATTGTTAGTGACTATTATAAATAGTGTCAGTTGACACTGTTGGTGACTATTATAAATAGTGTCAGTTTACACTGTTGGTGACTATTATAAATAGTGTCAGTTGACATTGTATGTGACTGTTATAAATAGTGTCAGTTTACATTGTTAGTGACTGTTTTAGAGTGTGTTAGTTGATATTGTAAGTGACTGTTATATAGTGTCAGTTGACATTGTTTGTGACTGTTTTAGAGTGTGTTAGTTGATATTGTAAGTGACTGTTATATAGTGTCAGTTGACATTGTTAGTGACTGTTTTAGAGTATGTTAGTTGATATTGTTAGTGACTGTTATATAGTGTCAGTTGACATTGTTAGTGACTGTTTTAGAGTGTGTTAGTTGATATTGTAAGTGACTGTTATATAGTGTCAGTTGACATTGTTTGTGACTGTTTTAGAGTGTGTTAGTTGATATTGTAAGTGACTGTTATATAGTGTCAGTTGACATTGTTTGTGACTGTTTTAGAGTATGTTAGTTGATATTGTAAGTGACTGTTATATAGTGTAAGTGAGGGTATCAGATGAAGACAGTTGTTAAAGGAATGGTATAGGTAAGTATTGACAACTGTTGTAATGATGTTTAAATGATTTATTGTCAGTTGTTATCTAACAGGTTCTATACCTAATATATCTTCATTACTAAATCACTCTTTACCTCATAATGTGGGTGTTCTTAGGTACAAACAAAGTAAAGATAGCTGATGTTATTATGTAGACATGATGCGTATCATTCCTTTTTTTTTCTTGAACTAGGTGGTAAAATTGTGTTCATGAAACGAAATTCTTACTGTGTATTTTGTAACTGTAAGGTACAGCAATAATAACATTTTCAAACTTTTCTATGATTTTAGGACACAGGTCATGTATCATTTTAAAGCTACAACAGAATTTTAATCAAGATATATTTTGAGACAAAATTTTGTTTTCTGACATTTATAAAGATTTCTGGGACCCACTCCTCAAAAAATCTTATGATCATTTAGTCGTAAGTATTGCATTTCTCAATGAAAAATTCTACATTTACCACAAATTCTTAAGGTAAAATTTTTTGTGGAATGTTGCACAGTACCGAACATGTTGTATTTATTATGAAATATATTTCAAGTCTGTCCAATCTACAGTAACAGACTACAATGAAAGACCAGAGTTTGTTTTCAGTAAGAGAAGAGTCAAAGTGCTATAAAGGTGTAGTTTGTTTATTATTATTAGCCATGTTTTATGTGTCTTTCAGAAATCTGGTAAAGTTCCATACATTCTCTCCTCAAAAATAAATAAATAAATAGACATGAGTACTAATTGTACTAGTAAATTTATAACAAAGACAAGTTTTATGGTCTAAATCTTACTATTTCATTGTATTATCAGTACCATTAGACTGGACTAATGTTCAATTCAATTAGGTTTCACACTCTTTTCACTATTACCATTTTTTTAAACATCCATATATGTCCACTTTCCAGCAATGAATTGAGTCAACAAAGTCTAAGTGAAATTGCTTGGTTGTAGTCATGGTACTATGTTTGTTACAAGTACTACTAAGTGAAATGAAAGGTAATTTTCCACTCTACATTACAGGTATGGTACTAATAAAATAAACAGTAATAACCTATGATAAATGTGTCAATAGTGGTATTTTTATGACCTTACACTACACATTATCCTCAAAATATTGTCTGCAATACTGTGGCATTATGTGGCAGATATGATCTATAGGAGTGTTGACTATGGAAATTTATCAATCATTCTTTATCTGGTGTGATTTATTTACAATTGTTTAAAACTTTGACCTCACACAAACCTAAAACATATTAAATAGCTATCTTTATCCAGTCTTTCATCCAATATTTTTCTAGCTCCACTGATTTTTACAGATCTAAATGTCATAAATTTTGTCCATCTTACAGAAGTTAAGATTTTTGTGAATGAAATCTTCCAGAACTACTTCCTTCAAAATAAGAGAAGAGTATTTTTACGAGTGTATAATGAAGATTTCCACTTGGTAAATAATTAGAAATGAAGTGAAATGTAAAAATAATGAAGAAGTTAGAAGGTTGTTAGTCAGAATGAAGAATGATCTTAGGAGTGTATTATTACTCATTAAACCTTCACACAACATTTCACAATTTACTGGTGAACACACTTGAAGTATAAATAACTTGAAATGAATTGAATGGAGTTTTACGTTTATCAAGATGGGTAATGCCGTGCAGTGCGAGATGAGTGGAACTTTGACCATTGACAGGTATTAGCCTATTCTGTTTCAATTTCCAACTGACGTGAGATATTTAACATACACAACCTGTAGAAAGTGGGTCCTTAGTTAATTGTCCCATCCATGTCAGCCCATTTCAATTTGCATCACTGACAGGGGCTCCAGTGAATAACTTGAAGCCTTGATAAAATTTCTACTAATGTTGGAAGCAGCCATTATCAAATCTTGTAAATGAGAGTTGAAGTTCTGGCCATCAAGATAAGACAGTATAGGACTAAATACAGTCGGGTGATATCAGATCAGCAGTCAAACAATCAGACCACCAGATACACAATATGGTTTCTCTTACTCTCAAACTGCCATTACATTCTAATGATATATAGTATATTGACCATAACCTGCTGACAGTTCTAACATCATCAAATTTCAACCATGTTGTTAAACAGTTTTTAATAGACATTATATTTCCAAAATGGCCGACCATTACAGAGAATCTGCTTTGAAGAGAAGAGCATTAGAATTTTTCCTTGTTAATGTTGATTTAATGTTCCCAAACCAAAATCACAACAACCAGAAGGAGATTCAAATTTTACTTCATCAAAAAAGTAACATTGTTGCGTTCAAATGTAATGAAGTAACATATTGTAAATTATTCTAGTTTTGAAATTAAAGATAAACTGAGTTGATTACTCTGTAATTAGAAGTCTACATTCTCTTCTTATCAAATATTTCAACCATCTTGATTTAAATTCCCTCAAATTAATCCTTTCTGCGTGCCTGCCATTTCAAATTATTTGACTTTGATTTGGTCAGCCAGACAGCTGTTGTAAGGTGAGATACAACTGACCATCTTTTGATTAGATTATCAGGTCTCTTACTATACTTACAGCCATTCCAGTACCTTCACTTTGATTCAAAAGAGCAATCAATTTACTGAAATAAAATACAGACTTCAATATTTTGTTCTTCAAATCATTTTGCATATGAAGGTGGAAGAAGCTATCCAGACACATTTGCAAAGAGATAACCTGCATGGAAGATTGGACTGAGATTCTCCCTTGTTTATTATTAAGAAATCACGACATTACAGAAAATAGGATGCAAAACTTTGTATCATTTCAAGAGTTAAGATTAACTCCATAAAGTCTTCATTGATTTTCAGCACTATCGAAGTTGTTTATGATAATAATATATCATTAATTCATGATTCCAGACCACAATATTTTTAATCTTTACATCATAAATAAAGCTGTCTATTACTTTGTTAGCTCTGGTTTTTATCAAATTACTACACACATTTCAACAGCTGTCTTAATCAATGAACCACCATCTTTGTTGAGTCTTGTTTAGAAATGGGAGAAAAGTAGAAAGAGATTACAAGTACACAAAGCATTTCCAAATTGACCAGACATCATCATAAGAAAGTTAGTTGATGGTTCTAAGTCAGGTTTTAAGAATTTTAATGCCCTAGAAGTTGAAAATAAATAAATGAACGTGCTAAACCTTGTGTCAATTGCTTCGTTTTTCAATGTGAATGTTGGAAACATATGTAATTATTAATGGGTTAAGAGAGATAGAGAATCTAGTTACTGGAGTAATTAGTAAAATAAATAAGGGTTAACATATGCCACACAGGATCTAGGTAAAATAATCAGTAGAATGAGCTATAAAGCTATGCTAGGTATGGTGGTATAGAAATCTTACTGTCAGTCACATTTCCACTATTCATTAATAATAATTTTACAACTTTACTACCCTATACTACTACTATTATTATGATCATAACCAGTGCCAAATACTTCATCTAACATAATACTTAATTCACAGATCTTGTTTCAAAATTAATCATACAATCAACAAGCACTTGTTTTCAGGTTTCATTTTAATATTACTTATTAAAACCTATAGTAATAATTTGTAGGATGTATATCTTTCATCAATGGAATATTAACTGAAGCATGTTGTTATTTAGAGTTTCAGATAGTAGTACTTATTCTTGTCTCAGTGACAAATTTAAATTTTTGTTTAAAGAAGTGAGCTAAGGGACATTATCAATAATGATATAAAAGTAATGGCAACATACATTCACCTTTTCAGATGAACATACAAAAATCAACAACTTGTTGGTAATTGTACAATTCATTTCCAATACACTGCCAAATCAGAAATTCAGAAGGCATGAAATCTACAACTGTGATCTGGTCATCATGGCCAACTTAAAATGTACTTACAAGGTTGAGTTGAAATGTGAATCATTAAAGTTACCATGAAATAGAGATGCTAGTCCTTATCTTTATGACTGGAGATGAAGTTGAATATCAACACATGTACCACCATGTTTTAATATCAGACCCTGTACCCATTCACCTAACTTCCTTTATTAGTAATTATAAGATGAAAGATTCAT